AAATAACGGTTCAGCAACAACTTTCTGTTCAATCATAGTGTGAAATACTGGAGTTATGTTGAGAACAGAGATTTCTGGGAATGCCATACCAAGAATACCGTCAAATTTAGCAGCAATAAAAGTTAACCCAGGTTCTGATGTTGCTTCAGCGAACAACTGCTCCTTCGCACAAACATCTGCTAACTGAAAATTTTACTCACAAGATAAGTATTAAAGAAAAGATAAAAACAGATTTTTTATGACTTAACATCTTTCTATCAACTTCAAAAAACCTTGAAACAAATTCGCTATGATAAGAGATTAGTAAAATTCAGCAGTGAAGTACCAGTGATAGATAGATAAACAAAAGAATAACGCACACAAACAGTATCTGATGAAATATATCCCTTCATAGATCCAGTTCCATATTGAATTTGCATTTTTCGACCATCAGATTTGTAAGTACTTGACTTACTCGAATCATACTTGTGATGAAGCACTAAAACGGTAATGAGGAAAAAATTTTGATTTTTCCAGAGTACAAAAAAAGATGAAATTTTAGTCACATTTTCAAATCGGCCAAAAGATTTCAAGAACAACAAACCACCAAAAAAGGTTTCATTGTTGTAAAAAGGCCGCTTACTGTAGCGGCGTAAAAGTCTTGACAGAAAAGGCGGAAAGTTTGTAAGACTTACAACAAGCAACGTCATAAAAAGGACAACTTTTAGATGGCACCCAGAGGTTTGATGACCCTGTATCAAAAATAACAGTAAAGTTCTGTGGAGGTGTTCCGATAGATATATCACCAAAGTATTGAGCCTAAACAACAACAAAAACAGAAATAAAAAACTTTTTAAAAACCGAATCTTTTAAAAGTATTAAATTGTCCACCAAAAAAATAACGAATACTAACATCCATGTAGTTTCTCAGTACTTCATCAATTTCATTAGCGCTTTTCCCCTTTAGAAGATAGAGTTCGTTATTAGCGAGATTATGGAAATATTTTTTCAACAAATGACGCCTTCTGTGCACATACTCATGCCATGAATTCGTTTCCACCAGTTGCTCACGAATCGTTTTTTGCTTTTTCAGTGGGATTCTACAATATCATTAGTGTACAACAACTGTGTCTGGAACAGTTTATTCACTATTGGCCAACACACTTACAGTGTGTGCATATATGCTTCGTTCTATTTTAATTCGTTCAAACAGTTTATTAAACTACTCAATTTTTAGGAAGCCATGTAATAATTCAAGCTCTTCCACCATAACCGTTGGCTAAATTTCTTTTTACAGTATCATTATTTATACAAGTAACTTGACAAGCAAGTGAGTTTAAATAAAGAATGTTTTAGAGCGTTACCGTAACACTGGGTCGGCATAAAGATTCCCGGCAATGAAGCAGAAGAATACCAAAAAAATCAGCGTTCGCATCCTACAAACACGCCAAATTAGAATCTGATTAATAAGTTCAAAATTGTTGCGATTTTAAATGCTAGTTGAGTATTACGCGAAAATTATCATATTCTAAACACTACAGTATCAAATAGGTAAGGTCAATTCAGGAACAATTAAAATGTTAAATGTACTTTACAATCTGATAACCTCCTTGACACTAACAAACTGAAACATCAAAGCTTCTTGACCACAACCATCTTAAGTGTAGTTCTAGTTGGTAATTCAGAATAAAGTAAATGCTAAATTGCAAAGTTCTTAGTCATCCGATATTGCCGTTCTCTCAAAATAATATTTCAATACCAAAAAAATTTTAAGTTTTTTTTTTTCTTAGCAACAACATATCTGGTTGAGCAGTTTGTAAAGCGAACAAGCTATATTCCACATAAAGAAAAAAAACAGAAAATTGAATAAGTTATGCCGTAACAAAGTATTCACAAATATAGCAGGTGAAGATTTTATTTTAAATTTTACTGAAACTGAACTTTTCAACTAACTTTGTTAAAGTTTAGTGAAAAAAATCACAACAACAAAAACACCAACAACAATAGCAGCTGAAGTCAACACAGAATTCTGCTTTATATGCATATGGTATTTGTTGCTTGTTACGATGAGATTCTCAGAAAAAAAATTTACAAGGCCATAATCTGACATGAAATCTTATTAGTTATTGATACAAGATCAGAAATAACGATAAGGCATTTTATTGCAAATTCCTTTTTTTTTCTGGCTTTAAAATAAAGTAAAATATTGTAACTGAATAAAGAAAAGTCAATATAAATGGTCTGTTTCTTCGCCAACATCTTTTCAGCCAATAAACCTGTAAAAAAAACCTCATCAAACTGTAAAGACCGATGACGTCGAAAAGATGTAATGATTTAACCGTTGATCGGTATTGATATCGAAATTGTACGTTGGCAAACATTTACGTAACTATGAACATTTATTGCAGACAAAAAATGCAGCAACTAAACCATAAGAAATTCTAAAATTACCACCTTAACTTTGAGTTCAAAGAAAAAAAAAAGAGAGATGAGAAACAAAACTGTTTACTCACAGAGGATTAAGATAAACTACATTTTTTCTTCCCCTCTCCTCCCCCCTCTTCTCATCTTTTTTTTTTTCTTTTTTTGTTACTGCAGTTGTTGGATTAGTAAGCACATTGAAACAGTTGACGTAAGATAACCGATATAACTAGGACAGTTAATGTATTCATTCTTGAGCCACAGTGACGATGCTAAATTCCAGTGAAAATAAGTCAGAATTTACAGTTTTAGTTAATAAAGACAAAGATAAGAATAAAAAAAAAAGTTGGCGTGAAAGTTTGAGTTTTTTTTTCTTTGTTCAGTTGACATTTCAGCTGATATCAATGATTAGACAACAGATATTTGCTGCTGATATTTAGATGGATGTCTTAGTAACATTAACCGCAAAACTTAGGCAACTGTTATCTGTTTAAAGAAAATACCAAGATGAAAAAAGAGAGGAAAAAAAAAAGAAAAACAGGAGCAATAAACATAGGTTGCTTTAGTGGCTTTTTTTTTCGATATTCAAAATGGAAATAAGCATTAAACTTGAAGTAGCCTTCCAAAAAAAAAAAAA